ACTTAGTAATTAACTTCAAAAAGAAAAATTAGATTTTCAAACTTGCTCATGTATGTCTCTGAAAAATATTGTATTAAAGGTCAGATAGAGATTGCCCAATATTGGACGGTCAGATCTAAGTATTTAAAAACTCAATATCTATTTTTAAGAAAAATAGGTGATTGGTAATTCTTTAATATCTTCAAATGTTAGATCTCTTGTGCTCAAAGGAGCAGGAGCATAATATACATGCTAACTAGTTTATATGACATAGTTCTTACTTATATGCTAGTATAGGCAGATATCAACTATATAGCATGTCACCTCTCAACTTAGCATCAAACCTCGCCCAAAAAATAATGGATAAATTTATCCAAATATTTAACTGTGTAGTAATTTGTCAGTTTACCCTTTTTCAACTATTTTAATTCATGGCCATGTGTATATTTTGAAATAATTCGAAAGATATGGGCAAGATATTACATAGTTCATATCTTATATGTATTTTGAATAATTTCCCATATAAAAAAAAATCATATGCATTTATTTGTTTCGAAAACAACATCATTATGGGATTGAATAAAGACCTTCTAACTTTTGGGTGGGCAGATCCAAGAGCTTAAGAACTACATGTCCAATTTTTTTTGTTGAGAAAACTACTCATCTGGTGTGATAATTGTAAAGTCAAACGTAGTATCCTCGGAGCAAGCTATACATTGTTATTTTGGACCAATGGTTCCATGTTAAACATAAATTCAGGGGCTCAGGGAAAGTATATGATAAAACTATTTGCTTTTGATACAATAAGATGTCAAATTGAATGGCTTGTGGTCATGCTTGGCTCAGATTCCAAAATTTTTTTTTTTCAAAAATCATGATATGTCCTCAACTATTAAATTTGATATTTAATGGTATGGTTGACTGTAACTTCCTTGTACTATAACTAGATAGTCTCATCCTGTACAATTCGTATAAATATTTTATAAGTTAGCAGGATAGAGTGTGCAGTTTGAGTTGGAAGGACGGTCTAGATATCATTGATGGCAAAGTAGAATCGGTATCTTGGTCGTCCATTGAAGTCCACTTGTGCTTTTTTATGAAACCAAATGTTTTTAAACAATGGATTGGTGGGGCAAATCGTTCACCCTCCATCATGGTCTAGATCAGCTAGATTGGTGATCCAAAAAAAAGTAAAAAAATAAATGAAATGAAATAAAATTTAAAATAGAGGTTTATGAGGTGGGAATTTAGGAGGTACCACATACAAAATTAGATAAGCTTAACGAAGAAAAAAATGAAAAGGGGATTTTAAAGGAGGGGGGGAGAGGAGGGGTTGTTGAGCCGGGAACCATACTTTTCCATAATGGGATTGGGCCCGATGGATTCCTCTCCATATTGGCAACCCTAATCGAAAATTGTCGGGTTTTAAAACACTGATGAAAATTGAGTGTGTTTCGTCTTCCATAAAGACCAAGGGCACAATATTCAACTTTTAAAAAGATTTCATATAAAATAAATGAAAAGGAACAAAGAAAAATTAAACCAAGATAGAGGTGATTAAGTTGAGAAACTCGACATGTTAACAATGTGCTTTAGAACAAAAAGGACAGAATCAATATAAAATAAATCTTATGATTCAAGCCACAAGTCAATAAGCAAACTAGTTTAGGACCTATCGAGTATAAATAAACCTTCTTGTTCCCTTTATCTTCTTTTTAGGCGAGGTTTCTTGTTAGAGAGAGAACCCTTTTTTTATTAGAACGAGAGAGAAATAGTCGGTTCTTTTTTTTGGGTGAGTCAAGTGGGGATGATGAGCTCCAATCCGTTTTTGAAATAGTCAAATTTTTAATCCGTTTGTGAGAATCATAGTCATTTTTTTAATCTATTTATGAAAATGGATGATCACTTGGCCTTCAGATGGTACTACCACCACGACCCTGCTCCACTCCCAAAAATGGTTGGTCCTTGCTCATGTTAAACATAGTTTCGTCAAGGAAAAGTACAGAATGAGACCATTTACTTTTGATACAAGGTGGTCACATTAATCTTGACCATTAGATGTGAAATGGGGTGGCTGCTATTATTCCATTAACCAAACTCAAACTTCAGAAGAAGATTTATCACTGAAAGCTGAAACCAATGTTAAAAAATTGGTACCACAATGTCAACATAGCAGTCTAATCCGACTTGCCGATGCTCAAATTGGCTTGCCGAGTTTGAATTGGCTGGCCTAAATGGTGAAAAATAAAAATTGTAGAAAGAATCCACCAAGACTCACATGATGGCTCGAGAATTCTCCGAGTCTTGTGGTGAACTCCCTGATTGAATGCTATAGTGAAGTGAACTGCCAGATTATAAACTACTCGAGTAACTTATCAATTTGAGACTGTTCAGAATGGAAAACCCGCCCCGAAAGAAGTCAATTCAGACGTCTCCATGCTGGATCATCGATTTTTCAGTTGCTACTACAACTCAGATTGGTGGGCCGGATCCTTAAAATCAAGTATTTCAATAATGGAAAATTTAAACTGCTAACAACCATACAACAGATTAAACAGGGACACCTTAGAAGGGAGTTAACTGCCCTTACATAAACAACTCATCGATCATAAGGATAAGGATGGATGCAGTTTCTCTCATCCCAGAGTCGTCGGATCAAAACCTGAATGGGGATAACGCCTCATCAGCTTGAGACCAAAGATGAGGCTCAACATCCAGTTGCCATGATTGGCCAAGTGACGGTTAACCCACATATTCATGTTGGATCATTGGTTTAGTGATCCAATTGGGTTTAGATAGGTCTGAATTGGTACTTTACAAAAAAAAAAAAGAAAAAAAAAAATTCAAAATAGGGGTTTATAGGATGGAGATTTAGATGAGACTTAAAACAATATTAGATCATCTAAAAAAGAGAAAATATATAAATTGGTGTTTTTTTCTTTTGGAAGGAAGGGGAGGGGAGACGAAGCTAAGACCTATGCCATCCTAGAACAGGTTCGATTATGCCAATTTCCATCTAAATGGACAATTTGGATCTAAAATCACTTAATTTAAAACAACGTATTCCTATTTAAAGAGAGGATTGTCCTTAAGATGTTAAATTTTTAAGGCACAAATATTAGATGGAAATTCCAAGGGCACCTCAAGAATTTCATGCCAAAGAGGGGCATTGTCCCATACACTGACATGCTTGAATTCCTTACTCCCAAATTCAAAGTTCAACCAACCCTAACTCTCACTGCCTGCGTACCTGGACGTCCTAATTAAGTGGTCCACTGTAGGAAGAGAGAGAAAGTCATCTTTTAGAGAGAGAAATTCTCACAGTAGAGAGAGAAACTAGCTATACTTCAACCATGGTTAGAGAGAGAGAGTCATCTTTAGAGAGAGAAATTCTCACAGTAGAGAGAGAAGCTAGCCATACTTCAATTATCGTTGGAGAGAGAGAGTCATCTTTTAGAGAGAGAAATTCTCAGAGTAGAGAGAGAAAGTAGCCATACTTCAACCATGGTTAAGTCAACCATGCATTCATGAGAACCATGGTTAACTCGAAAAGAGAGAGAGAGAGAAGCACGCCCCCTCATTTAATGGAATTTATATAAGCAAAGGGAAATAAAAGCCTGCCCCCCCTCTCTTTATTCCTCTCCCACCAACGCTCTTTACCTTTACTTTTCTCGCCTTTATTCTATTCTATCCATAAATTCCAAAAACTACCCTTGCCATTTACATTAGAAAATAGAGGTCTCTGTAGGGAAAATTACTGAAATACCCATATTCAGAAAACTGACGAAAATACCCTACAATACTTCATGGTTTAGGGGCCAACAATGGCCTATTGTACTCAAGAAGGACGAATTGTTTAAAAACATATATCAGACCGATTGTTTTTCATGTACAGTTTGTATACAATCAAAGTAAAATACACTTTCAAATAGTATCGAGAAATATAGTTTTAATATTGAAAATCTTTGTGATAGTCTTAAAATATATTTTTACCTTTAATTATAAAATTTAAAATTTCAAAAATAGTGTAGATCGAACAAATCTATAAAAACTTGAAAATTGATGGTCGAAAAATGCTTTACAAGACGTACTACTTTCAAAACTTGAAATCCATTTTTTTCTCATGTCCATGCATCTTGATGTCGAGATCAGGGATTTAAAAAATAGACCGGTGATCATGATCGGACATCGTCAAAACCAGTCCATATCGGTGAATTAATGGTGCGGATTGCCATTTTGTGTGGAAAAAACAGTGAATCGGCAAAAAAACATGTGTAAAAACAATGAACCAGCTAAAAATCGATCTGGATCGGTGAATCGAAATTGTTACTATAGAAAAATGTCGTTTTACTGCAGCAAATCACTAATTCTTTTATAGGCCTGGATTATTTCCTATATATTGATAGAATAGGCATGGGGTGACCAAATCCCGGGTCGGACCCGATGATTTCATACGGTGTTTTTTAAATCACTGGTCGAGATGATCAATTTGAGGATATTGGGCATCAAAACTACATCTTCTACTGAAATTTTTGAGGTGCGTTCTAATTTGATTGTTTAGAGCTTGACACTTTTATAAACTTTTTTTTTATTTAAAAATAAAAAGAACTGAAATAGAATACGACCTTATCATGAACCACCTATTTTCAAGTATTGTTGATCTATTTAGCCTACAGTATTTTTAAAATTTTAAAATTTATAATTAAGATTGAATATAATTATCAAGTTACCGTAAGATTTCCGACAGTGTGAAACTACATCTTCCCAAAGTGGGCACCACCAACATGAATCAAAATGCCCCTCTTTGTAGGAATTTTAGAAAATGTTTGGACAATAATGTAATTTACCCGACACGCCACCTCAAAGCGCGCCGTATCCGACGTGTCAATACATCTGCCACGTCATTAAGACACATCAGATGTCAAGACAGTCTTGCCCTCGTGTTACTGAGCCCAGTGACACGTGGAAAGACTATAAAATGCAAAGTTAACCTGGGCCGCGTTGTCTTTAAGGCAGTAGAAAGAGGAGAAAAAACTTCAGAGCCAGCTTTAATGGCGGACTCAGTGAACGCCCCTGCCACTTAGGGAGTGATTTTGCGGTGACTTTCCGGCGTTTTTTTGGCGCCGGAAACGCTACTGACGGGAAGAGATCGATCGGTTTTTGACAAATCCGGTTTGATTTGGTGGAGTAACGAGTGAGATTGAGGACTGAGCCCTAAACTAGCTCTCTTACTGGTTTTTGTGACTGTAAAACTAATTTTGAGCTCCATTATAGACGATTTTTAGCTATTTTTGCTGATTTTTATTCGGCATTGCTTGCAAATAGAGTAAGCTTTTGTTGTAAGAAGTAAATCTGGTGCCATTTCTGCAAGCTTCTGGTGAACTGGAGGAGCTTCGAGTTTTAACTGTGAATCTCGCTAGAGAGAGAGAGGGAGGGCGTTGCTTAGTTAGTTCGCCATTGATGAAGTGAGTGCTAAGTGAAGAGCTTTTTGAGGGATTTCTTCAAAATCTGGTGAAGTTTTGGTTGTTTTTTCCTTTTCTGGAATTATGAGGTAAAAGGGTGGATCTCTCTGTGTTATTTTGCAAATCCAGTTGAATGCCATTTGTTTAGCTTATTTATCTATCCCTTTATGTGGAATTTGTCAAATGAAAGGATCTCAAAGTGTTCTACTGTACATTTGGTTGGGTATTGTCCACCTCTGGTTGTTGCTTTGCCATTTCTAATAGTTACTTTGAGCTCTTACAAAAAGGGCGGAGACTGACACATTATTCTTAGGGCACAAAAAGAAAGCATCTTTGAACTTTATCTCCCAATCTGGTTTGATATTATCCATTCTTAAGGTCATACTCTCAAGCGTGTATTTTCCTCTTTGTCGAATACAACTTTACCAGGATCAGCAGGTATTCCCCTGTAAAGCCCAAGGAAATATTTTCCATCTGTGAGTTTCTTGGCTATGTTTGCAGAGCGCTTTTAACGCTTTCAATATTACAGTGACCTAAAAACCTACATCTTCCCTTTAGTTTTCATTTTGCTGTTTTTTCTTTGATTATATATCTCCTATTTCAAATACCCTTCTCTTTCTTCTCTGTGCTCTGATTCTGCAAATCTGGTTAAAAATCATCCCTTTTTTATAGCTGCAGTCCATTTATGAATGACTCGAAATCTCTGTCTTAAAAGTATCATTTTTTTCCCTGATACATAGAGTTTCTCGTGGGTTAAAAATTAAGCTGTTCCTTTGAGACAAAATCTTTTATGTCTCTGTAAACCCAATTCAATTATTTCTTCAAGTGCTTTCTTCAGTTGATACAATATGCCAATGGCTCTGTAAAATACATTAAAAGATTGAAGATGGAAGGAAACCTGTTTATTGTCAAGCTCTGTTCCTTTCTCTCTTTCCTGGCTTTCACTGTCTCTCAAGGTACTAATCCTTCCCTTAATGATGATGTACTGGGTCTAATCGTCTTCAAATTTGACCTCCATGACCCAAAAAATGTGTTAAGTTCATGGTCTGAAGATGATAACTCACCCTGCAACTGGTTTGGTATCCAATGCAATCCTAGGACCCAGAGGGTTACAGAAATCTTATTGAATGACCTTTCCCTCTCTGGAAAAATAGGTCGAGGCCTTGTGAGACTCCAATTTCTTCGAAAGCTCTCTCTGTCTAATAATTATTTCTCAGGCACAATCAGTCCTGACCTTGCCACTATCCAGAGCCTAAGAGCCGTTGATTTCTCTGGCAACAATCTTACTGGAGAAATCCCTGATCAGTTTTTCAAGCAATGTGGGTCTCTTCGTTATGTATCATTTGCTCGAAACAACTTCTATGGCCCTGTTCCTAGGAGTTTAACCTCGTGTTCATCTATTTCAGTGCTGAATTTTTCCAGTAATCATCTTTCTGGTTCATTGCCTGAAGACATCTGGTCTTTGAACACTCTTAGAGACCTCGATTTATCAGGGAATGAACTAACTGGAAACATTCCAGTTGGGATTGGGAGTTCGTTTAACCTCAGAACAGTTAATTTGCGGAAGAATCAGATTTCTGGTAATTTACCAGAGGATATTGGCAAGTGTTTGTTGCTTAATTCGATGGATTTCAGTGAAAATTCATTGACAGGAACCGTACCTGTTTCGCTTCAGAGACTTTCTCTGTTAACTTCTTTGAAGCTAGGGAAGAATTCGATCACAGGATTGATACCTTCATGGATCAGCATGCTAAAGAATTTGGAGGTTTTGGACTTGTCAGGAAACATGTTTTCTGGTGAGGTTCCGACCAGTATTGGGGAGTTAAAAATGCTTAAGAGCTTGAGTCTTTCAGGGAACAAATTCACCGGACAAATACCAGATTCTTTAACGATGTGTGTGCATCTTTCTGAGGTTGATCTTAGTCAAAATGGGTTAATAGGGATCATACCAGAGGGGATTTTGGCATCGAGTATAGAGAGACTCAATCTTTCTCAGAATGGTTTTACTGGTTCAATTCCGGATATTACTGGGTCGAATGTTTTCTACCAGTCTGTTAAGGTTATTGACCTGTCGGAAAATGGATTAAGTGGAAAAATTCCAGAGGCGTTTGCCCTTTCTAGCCAATTGGTGGTATTGAATCTTTCACGGAATTTTCTATCTTCTGAGATTCCAGCCGGTATAGGAGAGTTGAAGGAACTTGAAGTGCTTGATTTGTCCCAAAATCGTTTAAATGGGAGCATTCCTTTGAAGATTGGAGCGGCAATAGCTCTCACTGACTTAAGGCTTGACCGAAATTTTCTATCTGGGGGAATACCACTGGAAATCGGAAAGCTGAGATCTCTTGGCACTCTGTAAGTGCTCTCCAACTCTTTGTGTACACATACTATGCAACGTAAAATCTAACCTGGTGGTATTCATTTTTTTGAGATACTTGCTTTTATCAAAGTTTTTCAGTAAACCTTGAATCTTTGAACCTGTGCATGTGATTGATTACGGGTTTGACTTCACACCTTTTTGTTGTTCTAATCCGGAGAAAGAATACCAGTTCGATTGAATTTTAGTTCTTAGAATTCAATTATGTACATCAATATTAACTTAACGGTAGATGTCGATCTCATGGAATTTTAGCTATGGGTACTCTTAACTCTGTCAGAGAAAGATCTGGTAATTCTGTGAGGCTCTAAGTTTTATTGTTATTCTTGTTAGAAAGAATTAGCTAGTAACTCTTAATTTTTGGAATTTACATTCTTTCTCTTTCATCTTGAGCTTATGTTCTTGAAACTGTGTGTTTTCCAAAAAAAAATTCTCTTCCAATATCCCCTGGTAAATGCAGCTTAAGTCTACTATCCCACTATCAAGACCTTGAAAATCCAGCTTTCAACAAAACTTCTGAATTGGCAATTATAAGTAACTCATGACTGTATACACTTGAATACTCAACGACTTCTTGGTAGAAGCTTTGGAAAATGTCTGCCTTCCCTGATTCCTGTCAAACTTATGACCCTTAATTTGTTATCAAATTTACTTAATCATTTGTCGATTTTGTTTTGTATATGCACGGTGGAGCGATGCTTAACTCTTTACCTTTTATTTTCGGAATGTCTCTATATTGTCTTGTCTATAGGAAATAACACAATGGGCTCTGAAAAGCCATAGTCTTCAGGCTATTACCATCCAATGAAACAATGGACGTGAAGTAGGGAGTGGGGTCCCACTGGAATGAGACAAACCCCATTGGTTGGTACTGTTCTCTCTCCATCACAATCCATCATTTCATCAGACGGTAATAACCCATTGTACTATGGGTATTCCATATCCCATTTGGATACTCTCCCTCCATTTATATAAACTGATTTGTTTGTCTAAATTTTGATCCAGGTCGCTCTCTAAGAACAACCTGAGCGGCCCATTGCCCGCCTCCCTTGCTAATTTAACCTCTCTGCATACCCTCGACCTCTCCTTCAACAACTTAACAGGCACTCTCCCTCATCAACTTGGTAACCTCCCTCACCTTCTCTTTCTTAACCTATCCCATAACAACTTAGCAGGTGAGCTCCCTATGGGCCCTGCCTTCAACACCCTTGACCCCACCTCTCTCTCAGGTAACCCCTCCCTTTGTGGGGCCCTCCTCAACCGCTCGTGCCCAGCTGTTCTCCCGAAGCCCATCGTCCTCAACCCCGACTCCACCCCCAACAGCCCCCAAAATTCCCTTCCTACCACTAAATCCACCTCCCGCCACAAGAAAATCATTCTTAGTATCTCAACCTTAGTGGCAATTTCAGCCGCTGCCCTCATTGCCCTAGGGGTAGTCACCGTAACTTTGCTCAACATGAATGCTCGAGCACACCATAGAGCCGATGGTGCACTCGTGCTTGAGCCCTCAAGGTCTGGGTCCGGATCTGGGGTTGGATCCCCCTTGACTAGTACAGGATCTGGTCAACCAGGAAAGCTAGTGATGTTTTCATCTGATAAAGACTTCAGTGTAGGGGCTCATGCATTGCTTGATAAGCACTGTGAGTTGGGGCGAGGAGGGTTTGGTGCTGTGTATCGAGCTCCACTCCCTGATGGTCGTCCTGTTGCGGTTAAGAAATTGGCAGTGTCTGGGTTAGTGAAATCCCAGAGTGAATTCGAGAAAACGGTTCGAAGTCTCGGAAGACTTAGGCACCCGAATCTTGTGCACCTTCATGGCTATTATTGGACACCGCAATTGCAACTGTTGGTCTATGAATATGTGGGGGGTGGGAGCTTGTATTCCAGGTTACATGAGCCTGGAGGAAAGGCACTCACGTGGTTGGAGAGGTTTAGGGTAATATTGGGGGTGGCAAGGGGCTTGGCGTTTTTGCACGAGTCATGTAGGCCGGCGGTTGTGCATTACAATGTTAAGTCGAGCAATGTATTGATCGATGAGAATGGCGAGGCGAAGGTGTGTCTCTTCTTATTCTGGATTTGTTGCTTACTATTATCATATGTTTTTGTTCAGATAATTATTGTTAGTATACATGTAAAGCTTAGATTTATTAACTTGAAACTGATGAAATTTGTTGACATCCGTCGTACTTCAATTTTGGATGTTTACCATTGAACTATTTTCTTTGCCTAAGTTACTTTGAAGTCTGAACATTGTTAACATTCAAAACTGAAGTTGATGAATGTAATCTGATCTTTTCTTTTTTTGCTAACCACCTTCAGTTTTGAAATTTAAATGCTCTTTTGCACTCAAGTGCTTTTTATTTTTATTTTATTTTAATGCTCAAGGATGTTTCCCTTTATTTGGCACGGCAAGATTGGAATTGATGGTAACCATTTCAAAAAAAGAAGATTGGAATTGATGGTATTTTTTCCTTCACTTGAGGTGAACTTTGTTAAACCATTGTAAAACTCTTGCTCCAAGCAAATTACTGATTTTTTCTTTTATACCGATCAAATTACAGTGGGCTGAGGTTATGAATGGAGCACTGAACTTCTGTTGGTTATAGCCTAACCGGAAAACCCTGCACAAAGGGGTGTGTCTGCACTTTTTCTTGGCAAATGACAAAAATTCTCTCTACCCAAAAATTATTGTTAAAAAATTAATATTAGAAGCTGTACCATGGTCCAATGGAAAGGTGTATGCTACTTGGTTTGAGATTTACATAGTATACTTAACCTCCATCCATCACTGTTGCAGTTACCATATGCCATAGTCCATTAGAGTAGTTATACTTGGCAATTGGGTTCTTAACTGATTCTTGACATTTCTAACCACTTGTTATGGTGGCTCTCTCTTTCTGAAGGTCGGTGACTTCGGGCTTGCTCGACTCCTCCCGATGCTCGATCGCTATGTCCTAAGTAGCAAGATACAGAGCGCCCTGGGTTACATGGCACCCGAGTTCGCCTGTGGTTCAGCCCGCGTCAGTGAGAAGTGTGACGTCTATGGCTTTGGCGTCCTAACCCTTGAGATTATCACTGGCCGCCGGCCCGTTGAGTACACTGAGGATGATGTTGTAATTTTGTCGGACTCAGTTCGTGGGGCACTTGAGGGGGGCAGGGTGGGCTCTTGTGTGGACCCTCGTATGGGCCCAGCATGGCCTGAGGAAGTGCTTGTGCCCTTGGTGAAGCTCGCTTTGATTTGTGCATCTCAAGTGCCATCGAATAGGCCAGCCATGGGCGAAGTTGTCCATATTCTGGAGGTCATCGGGAGCCCGCCAGGCCCAAAGGAAGAGTCGTGATTGGCCCATTGGACCCAGTCAATGGGCCTGTCTGGGGTTATAAAATAGGCACTGCGGACTCACTTGATGGACCCATTGGTCTCTCAAGATAGATATAGTGGTCTCACCCATTGGGGCTCATTTGGGCTCCACTTGGCACATTGGTCTCGGACGATGGGCCCATTGGGTTTATGGGGGCCCATTGGGTTTATGGTTGTTTCTAGTGGTGGATTTGAGGAAAGGGTGGGTTTTGGTGGCTGGGGAAGAGGAATCCGGTGGGTTATTTTTCAGGTTGAGTGGTGTAATTTTTTGTTTTTTGTCCTTTTTCATTGGAAAGAAGATTTTTGTGTTATGTTATGTTGTGTTTTTATTGGGAGAAAGGGGTTGATGGATCGGATTCCTTTTCGCCGGTTATGTGGACAGTGGAAGTTAGGGTTTTGGGGTGGTTTCAGTGAAATGTAATTTCAAGGGTTTTGTTATATAGGTTATACACAGTGATGCTTCAGTTTTTCCAGCCTTTATTTATTTATTTTGATTGAGCTTATTATTATTATTATTATTATTATTATTATTATTATTATTATTATTATTATTATTATTATTATTATTATTATTATTATTATTATTATTGCAGTGGCTTAATCTGTTATTTAACAAAAAAAATTGTACAAAAATCGTGTATTTCTTTTTTGATATAGTGAAACTACAACAATTATACTCTGGGTAAACACTTGAAAATGATTTCAGGGTAAGAAAAATACCAGTACTTTGTTTTTTGACCTAAAACTCTGATACTGTGTTTGAAATTCAGACAAGTTCTCAACAATTAAAAAAAAAACCCTAAAAATAAGATTAGGAAAAGTCTATTGTTACCTAGGCTTTCTTGTGGATTTCGGATGTAAAACTCATTCTTAAATCGCCTTGAGCGATTCCACAATAGATTCCTCTCTTTGCTGCTCTGATGTAGATCTCATAAGTGAAGAAGTCAAATAAATAATCATCGTGGTCATTACCATGCAAGTTTTATTTTAATTATTTGGGGACTGTTACATGAATATGTTCCTCTAGTTTTAAGTTAAATAAATAATACAAAAATATTAATAAATATCATTTTAAAACTTAAATCATGTTAATTTTTAGAAATTCATGATTATCATGGTTGAGATTATTAATCATTGATATCAATTGATTTTACAAGAAGGGATGAATATAAAAAAGCGCGTGCTACCAAAGCCTCACCCGAAAAAAAAAGTCAATATTTTTTCATGTAATTTGCCATGTACACAAGCACCTTCCCAACGTATTAGACTAAAAGAAAACAAAACAAAACAAATGATCATGATGTTTTGAAATGTTTTATTTGAATTTTTTCTAATGTTAAGATTGATTTGAAATTTTACGATTTCATAACTCTCAATTGCACCGCACGATATGTAAAAATAAAAAATAATTGTTAAAAAGTAGTTCGACCAAAACACTCCTAAATGTTTGAGGGGAACTTTAGTTAACTTATTTTTTACAAATTAAGTTCTCGTAATTATTAGGTAATCTAAGTGGGGCACAAACATCATGCCAATTGAAAAGAAATTAAAATTAAAATTCTGTATCAAATCGAGTCCATTCATGTTTTCTCTTCTAATCTAGGCGTGTCCGAGTTACTCGGCCGAATCCGAGTAGACCTGGCCGAGTTTCGAAACGCTGGTCTACATGATATGGATACTATATTACGTTGGAACTGCCTTCTAGAGAGAGAGAGAGAGAGTCACAAAAGAGAGTCTCAGTAACGAAATATGGACAAGAGAGAGAGTCACAGTAACAAAATGTGGACAAGAGAGAGAGCTCAGCAGTTTGCAGCAATTTGTGAGAGAGAGAGAGAGAGAGAGAGAGAGAGAGAGAGCGACGACGACGACCATACTACGTCCTCTGTCTGTACTATTAGTTTCGGTACTACGTTACCGTTATTTACGTACGTACCGTTACTTTACGTTCGTTACTTACTTAACGTTTACGTTACGTTTTACGTTTTT